TTCATCTCCAGAATTAAGGATTATTTTAATGTTACATCATTGCCTTTTCTCTTTTACTTTCCTTTTTAGTTTTATTTTAGGATTCCCTATTTTTAATGTTCATACAGAGATTTCTTTCACTGAAATACCGAATAGTTTCTTTGGTGTGAAAAACTATAATAGTACACAGGATCCTAATGAGATAATTAATAATGTGAAATAGGAAGTAAAGGGCTAAAGGTGTAGGGAAAGCGGGAAGGGTGGGGGAAAGGTAATAAGGGAGAGGAAAAAAATATGAGAAACTGAAAAAATGGAAATAAAGTGTTTGTAAATGGGGAGGGGAGGAGGGGGTGAAGGGAGGGCAGGGACAAGGGGAAAAATGAGAATCAAGACCTATTATATAAAGGTATAGAATCCCAAGGATGAATGTAACTGTATTGTATACCTAGATTGTACCAATAAACTCAATTAAAAAAAAAACAGCATGGTATTGCCATAAAAGTAGAACTGAGGATGCAGGAACAACTTTTGGCATATTTAGCCATTTTTTTTTTTTTGGTTTTGCTTTTTTTGTTATTGGGGATCGAACTCAGGACTTTGTGCTTTCAAGGAAGGCGGTGGCACCACTGAGCTAAATCCCCAGCCCTCAGCCAACTTATCTTTGACAAAGGGGCCAAAAACATACTCCAGGGAAAAGATAACCTCTTAAACATATGATGCTAGGAAAAGTGGTTATCTATATGCAGAAGACTGAATTTAGACTCCTGTCTCTCACCTTGTAGTAAAATAAAATCAAAATAGATGAAAGACTTACATATTAAAACACAAGCACTAGGGCTGGGTATGGTGGTGTGGTGTATGCCTGCACTTGGGAAGCTAAGGCAGGAAGATCACTGTGAGTTTGAGGCCAGCTTGGACTCCTTAACATATTGAAGACCAGCTTGAATACATAGCGTGACCTTGTCTTAAGAAAGAAAAAAAGAAAGAAAAACCCAGAAACACTGAATCTAAAACCCGTGAAGATATAGGCATAGACAAGGACTTTCTTAACAGAGCTCCAAGGGCACAAGAAGGTACTGTAACTCCAAGAATTAACCAATGGATTATATCAGATTGAATAAATACTTCTTAAAAGAAGTACAAATGGTCAGAAAGTACATGAAAAACTGTTCAGCAACTGTCACCATTAGAGAAATGCAAATCAAAACAACACTGATTCCATCTTACTCCAGAAAGAATGGCAATCTTCAAGGACTCAAAAACAACAAATGCTGGCAAGGTTGTGGTTTAAAAGGAACTCTTCTTCATTTTTGGTGGGGATGTAAGCTAATACAACCATTATGAAAATCAATATGGAGATTCCTCAGAAAACTAAAAGTAGAAATTCCATTTAACCCATCTATACTGCCTCTGGGTTTTCTTCCCAAAAGAAGTAAAGATATCATATTACAAGTTAATGCTAAGTGAAATAAAGCAGATGCAGAAAGTTAAATGTCACATGGTTTCTCTTATATGAAAAACTCAAAGTATAATTTAAAGAGCAAACTACCACCCAGCCATATCCACATAACTATTTCTGTGGTCTTTTGTTAGTGTGAGTCAACCAGAGAGAGATGGGTCTATTCTTTTCATATTACTAAAAATAGAAGGTTTTTCATGGTGTATGCCTGACAATCAGACCCTGAATCATGGTGAATTTGCCATGACTGTACCATCTTATGGGAACCTGCCTGGCTCACTAGTTTTCCTTCTAGAAAGGAGATACTCTAGAAATTGTCACTTGGAAACTGGACAAGGTGGCACATGCCTGTGATCCCAGCACTTGGGAGGCTGAGACAGGATTGCTGTGAGATAAAGGCCAGCCTGGGCTACATAGTGAGACTCTGATTAAAAAAAAAAAAAGAAAGAAAAACCGGGTGTGGTGACACACACCTGTAATCCCAGCACTCAAGAGGCTGAAGGAGGAGGATCGCTGTGAATTTGAGACCAGCCTGGGCTACATAGTGAGTTCCAGGTCAGTCTCAACTACATAGTGAGACCCTGTCTCAAAAAACAAAAAACAAAAAACAAAACCCAAAAAAACCCCAAAAGGCTGGAGAATGGTGATAAATGCCTATAATCCTAGCACTCTGGAACGTTGAGGCAGTAACATCATAAGTTCAAGTCTAGCCTGGGCGATTTAATTACTTAGTAAGACCTTCTTTCAAAATAAAAGAATGCTAAGGATATAGCTCAGTGGGAAGGCCCTGTGTTCAATCTTCAGTATGAAAGAAAAAAAAAGGAAAAGACAAAGAAATTATAGATGGTAATACTTAATACTATAAAGAGTCCAGCAGTTTATGTCCACTACAAAGTATTTTTTTGTAGTGCTGGAGATTAAACCCAGGGCCTTGAAGATGCTAGAGAAGCCCCCTACTACTGACCTACACCTGCAGCCCGAGTATGAGATTTTGGATCACTACAAGAATAGTTCTTCGCAGCCTGTTATTTGGAGGTGGGGCACATCTAATGTGGACTAGTGGGAACCTCAGTAAAATTCAAGGCACAGACTAGGAGAAAGTGTAATACTTTTCCAAGTCATTAAGAATAAACAAAATAGCAGTGTTTTCCCACTGCTCCAGATGTGGCAAAGATAAAAGTCTGATTTTTTTAAGCATTTCTGGTAGCCCCTCAGAATGTCAGGCAAGCTGCAGGCAATCTCACTATTACATTACTGTGACTCCTTTCTGATTGCATGCAAAAAATACTATGCTAGGCACAGGTCTTCAGAACACTGTACTCAATGTCTATCTTGTGACCTGGCTCAGGGAAAAGGATGAGACTCCATAGCCTTGTGGTAACAGTTTTGGGAAGTCTAGTCCTCACTAGATTTCTCACGAGGAAGACAATAAAATAAAATGCCTACGGGCTGGGGATTTAGCTCAGTGGTACCTCCACCTGCCTCATATGTGCAAGGTCCTGTGGTTCAATCCCCAGTACTGAGGAAAAAAAAATGCCTAGAGAAGGTGTGAAAGCTCCCCTGAGTAGTAAAGGTTTCTATGCCTGATGTGCTGTCTTGCAAGTTAGCTGAAAAGAAAAAGTGGTATCAAACACAAGCTAGAGAACCTAAAAACAAAGTACTTACTTGTTTATTTCCTCTTTTGTGTCCTTTAGGTCCTCTACCAGTCTGTTCTTTTCCATGCCTTTAGCAAGTGGGAGAAAAAGTGATCATGAGAGACAGTATCTATTCCTTCATTTTTACTTGGTTAACTATTCAACTGCTCTATGAAGTCTGACCTGGGTGAAATGCCCTTATTCACTGTTACTACTCTAGCTTCTGTCATTTCTGTTATACTGAATTGTTCTCTGTTCCATGATCTCCTTTAGTAAAAACACTTTTTCATCAAGGTAGGGCATTTATTTTGTTTGCTAAACTAAACTGAAAACTGGCTTTAAATATGGAAAGTTGGTTAATGCCTCTTACCTTAATTGAAGGATTAAGTAGTTGGGCATTTTTTCTAAGAACACTTTGACACTAGTTTGTATCAATCAAATGAAAAAACATACCCCTTTCCTGGCCCACCGACAGAAACCACTTGCATGCCAAAGGATCCTCGGCCTCTGGAGGGCCCACTGCCAGCCCACTGGCCCACCACCATCCCAGCAATTTCCAGTTTTCCTCCTTGAGGTGGGATTGGATGGAGACCTGGTAAGACAGGATGAACAATAGTAATAAGTTTAAGTGCAACGTAGGCTAAGAGGTAGAACAAAAGATCCTATAAACCACCTACTCTTACCTCCACTTCTCTCTGATAAGATGACTCTAACAGTAACAAGAGATCATATATATAATGTATGAGTGATTCATTTTTCAACTACAGAGCCTGGCGCATATTAGGAATTCAATATTTGTTGACAGTAAATATTTTAAAATTGAGTTATTGGAAATTATAGGCCAAACCCACTTTCAAAACAAATATACACCATGACACACTATAGGATTAGATAACCAAACAGAAAAGATGAGACTAAACAGTAATTTATAACTAAAAAGTGACATTAAAAACACATGAAAAGGCCGGGTGTGGTGGTGCACGCCTGTAATCCTAGCACTCGGGAGGCTGAGGCAGGAGGATTGCTGTGAGTTCGAGACCAGCCTGGGCTACATAGTGAGTTCCAGGTCAGTCTCAACTACACAGTGAGACCCTGTCTCAAACAAACAAATAAACAAACAAACACAAAAAACCCCAAAAAACCCCATGAAAAATAGAAGTAATTCAAGACAAGATGACACAATACATCCTTAGAAGATTTACTTTTTTTTTTTTTTTTTGGTACCAGGGATTGAACTCAGAACCTTGCTCTTGCAAGGCAGGTGGTGGAACCACTGAGCTAAATCCCCAATACATCCTTAGGAGAAAGGAAATTCCAGGTTGTATGTGTGAGCTCACAAGCATAGTTGGGTTTTATAATCTGGCACAAATGGAAGCCTTCAAAGAATATGGAGTTCTGACAGGCCTTTTAGTTTATGGAAAGAAATTAAAGGTTAATAAACTTTAATTCATTTAGCAGGTTACTAGTAAAGAGATATTTATTTACACAAAAGTGAAAGTCCAAGGAGCTAGGAACCATTCCTAAGAGGGACAATAAAAAATTACACTCAGGGATCCTAAGGTGGCCTTTCAGGAGGCAGGAGGCTCCCATGAACCACCAGTAACTGGAGACTACGTATCACTGGCTGAGGCAATGGTTAGGACCTGTGAAGAACATGGCCCCAATTAAGGTATCTTCTGAGATTTACATAATAAAGTCAACACAAAAGATCTGAGAAGAGACCTGTAAAGTCACATTAAAAGGATGGAATGGCTGTCTCCCTGGTTTGTAAGCTAGATCATTACAGTGATGAACAGTGAGTTACTACAGCCAACTTTCACACTATTGATCTAAGCCTAGCCTTGAGTGCAACATCCATCCTGAATTTTGAGACTCCAAAAAGACTAACTTCAACTTTCAACTTTATTATTTTTAAGAGAGACACAACAGACAACACATACATTCAACCATAGCAATGACCCTGTCACTCAATCACAGAATCTTGCTATTTTATATTAAAATGTCCCCCATTAAAATATCCTGTTTCACATGGGGACAGATTGTTTCAAGTTTCAGGATCAGTATCTGAGCTACCTAAGCATGCTTGTCTATTCATAATTAAGTAATTATAATTAAGTAGATCAGGTATCACCATAATTTCTACATACAGATGCAGTTCATATGAGTTGTAGTTCTCAAAATAATAAAGTGAGCCAGGGATTTAGCTCAGTGGTTCCGCCACCTGCCTCGCAAGCTCAAGGACCTGAGTTCAATCCCCAGTACCAAAAAGCAAAACAAAAAACAAATCAAAATAATTAAGTGAGCCAGTCACTGCATGAGTTTTGTTTTGTTCATTGGGAACCAACCACCTCTAATAGGAAGTGGCTTAGAAATTCAAGGGGCTTGGCTGGGGATTTAGCTCAGTGGTTCCACCATCTGCTTCACAAACTCAAGGACTTGAGTTCAATCCCTGATACCAAAAATAGAAATTCAGTGGGCTTTGTTTTCTAGGCCACATCCCTCTACCTCAGTAAGCTTCTCTTCAAACTACCAGAAAACACCACAAAATGTAAGTAAGATAAGTTTCACATGAAAACTGTTGATTCTGTAACGGGCAACAAGCACTGGATAAGTTATGTGGGAAGGGTAGGGGTAAAGGTAATAAGGGAAAAGAAAAAAATATGAGAAAATGAAAAAATGGAAATGAAGTGTTTGTAAATGGGAAGGGGAGAAGGGGTGAAGGGAGGGCAGGGACAAGGGGAAAAAATGAGAACCAAGACCTGTCATGTAAAGGTACAAGATCCCAATAATGAATGTAACTGTACTGTATACCTAAAATGTACCAATAAAATCAATTAAAAAAATAGGCAAAGGACTTAAAAGACATTCTTCAAATGAAGACATACAAATGGCCAAGAGAAACACAAAAAGTGCTCAACATCACTAATCATTGGAAAAATGTAAATTAAAAGTGACATATAACCTTTCATCTGTTAGAATTATCAAAAAGATAAAGGAGAAGTGCTGTAAGAAAGCTAAATGTGAAGAAAACAGACCATTTGCACACTGTTGATAGGAATGTAAATTAGTACCGACTATTACAAAAAATTATGTAGACATTCCTCAAAAAAACTAAAAATAAAATTATCCTATAATCTAAAATAAAATAAAATAAAATAAATTGGATATGAAATATCTGTTTTAGGTACTAACCTGCAAATCCCCGGCTCCTTCCTTGAGGGTGAGGTGGCATTGAACCCATAGCTCGGGAATAAATTGAAACAGGGTAGAGAGAGGGCACCATGGGAGGCACAAAAGTAGGTGATGGAAGTAGAGCTGAAGGTGGTGGATGATTCATGTTGACTCCTTCAAGGATACTCTGCCTCATCCTTTCCACTTTGGTTGCCAGGTCAGCCTTCAAGTTAGGAAGAGATAACAACAATGGCAGTTTTTTTTAACTTCTCCCATATTTCAGGCACAGTATTGAGCACCTTAGGTATAGCCTCACAATTGTATTCCCTCCAGGAGAACTGAGACCTCGAGTCAAAGGACTCCAGGCTACAGGCACAGGAAGCCTGCCTTGACAGGAAGGCTCCAATTCTTCCCATGAAACCACACTACTGCCATATTAGTTCTAACTGAGGGCCTGTGAAGCATATTAAGTAGGTCACCAAAAACAAATGTAACAGTAAGGATTCACTGCTGGTCTATTACATGATCAGCAATGAACTAGGTTTGCTTACAGTGCTAGGGATCACACCCCAGGGCCTTGTGCCTTTACACTACTTAATTTTTCCTTTGTGGTACTTACTTTTCTTTTTCGGCCTTACATGTTAAATGAGCACTCTACCACTGAGCTACATTCCCAGCCAATGTTAGGTCATTTTTAAAAGGAGAGGTAACAGAATTAGATAAAAGGGAGCAAAAACTTGATATAAACAAAGGCTTTTAGTCTTCTCCCTCATACCCGGAATTGGAGACTGAACTCCATCCAGGATAAGTGAATTATGTCTGGTCCAGAGGTTTGTGAAAGGGTAGGATAGTAAATACTTTAGGCGTTGTGGGTCACAATGTCTCTGTTACAACTACTTCATTCTGCCACTGTAGCATGAAAACAATCACACATAATATACAAATGAATAAATGTGACTATGTTCCAATAAAGTTTTATTTACAAAAATAGGGGGTAGGTTGTATTACATAAAACAGGAAGCAGGCTGAATAGTTTGCTGATCCCTACTCTAGTCCCTTAGCTCATTCTCCCTCAAATGGAAAAAAAGATTACATGCCCCCCCCGTTTTATCTAAACTTTTCTAAGGTTTTCTTGCAGAAAGTCTGCTTCTATTCTTCTTTTTCATTTTTTGAGACAGGGTCTTGCTATGCAGTCTAGGCTGGCCTTGAATTCATGGTGATGCCCCTGCTTCAGCCTCCTGAATGCTGGGATTACAGGTGTGTGCCACCACGCCCTGCTCCTCTGCTTCTCTCCTGTCATCTGCTTTACTACTCTCTTTTATTTCTTTTTTTGTTTATTTTGTTTGAACACCTCATATGGTCCAGGCTGGCCTCAAACTCACAGCGATGCTCTTGCCTTACCATCCTGAGTACTGACATTACAGGCCAGTACATCCCCCCTGCCCCCCAGCAACTAACACACATCCCATGCCGAGCTAGCCTCTTTTACTTTTAAATATATATTTTTTCCGGTATTGGGGACTACATCTAGTGACTAGCACATGCTAGGCAAGCATTTTACCACTGAGCTACATCCCCAGCTCTTTTTACATTTTATTTGAGTCAAGGTCTCAGTAAGTTGACGAGGCTGGCTTTGAACTCCTGCTTCAGCCTCCTGAGGAGTTGGGATGACAAGCATGCACTGCTGCATCCAGGTAAACCTATTACCTGCACCCAGGTAAACATAGTTTCTTTGCAAGAAATATCATCCCATGCAAAAATGACTTATATGGTTTTATAAATAAGGGAAATGAAACCCTGAATTGGAGAAAAGGCACATAATATATCTGAGTATCCCATGGGAAAGAAATACTTATAGCTCATAAAAAACTTTCCAAAATATGATTTTATATAACAAATATATATCAGATATAGTCTTGTGGGACCATGTTGATTAAATTAAATTGAGGTCATATTCTTCTTATTCTGTTCCCTCCTTCCCCAGTTTTTCAGCTCTTTTCCCTCTCTGCCAACTCATTCACCCCCACAGCACAGAGATGGCCCAGAGGAGTTGTACAAAGTGCTGGTACCTGGCCATCACAGAGCTCAACCAGGGAAACTCGCTCTCGGCCTGCTTTAATAAGCTTGCTCTGGAACAACTTGCCATCGAAGTAAATCCAGGGGCAGCAGTGTTCCCAAGGAACTGGCTGGCCACAGGCATCATTAGCGAAGAGGGCTGTGTCGACTCCACTCATAAAGAGGGCAGCAAGCTGGATCCCTCGGGCATCCAGTTTCTCAATCTGAAATCACCACAATGGAAAAATTACTATTAAGAAAATACAGATCAAATACCTCTGCTCTAACGATCTGAAAGCTAAAATGCTCAAAAATCTGAAACTTTTTGAGTGCTGACATAATGCCCCAGGTGGAGAATTCCAAACCTGGCCTCATGTGACAGGTTGCAACCAAAATGTAGGTACCCCCAAAATACTGTATAAAATTATCTCAGGCTATGTGTATGTGTATATGAAACATAAGTGAATTTCATGTTAATACTTGGGTCTCATCCTCAAGATATCTCAATATGTATATGGATATATTTAAAAGTAAAAAAAAAAAATCTGAAATCTGAAACAGTTCTGGTACCAAGCATTTCAGATATTCAACTTGTGCTACTGGTAACAAATATTCTTATTTCTATCATGATGATTCTCCTAGTTAAGTTTAAACATGTTACCTTTCAATATAGACATCTGAGTATACAAGCAACTTTTTTAAAAGCATGTAAAATATGTTTTATTCTTTAAAAGGACTCAGGGTTTGGTTTTAAATCAGACTGCATACCTTTCATCAGCCTGACATCTCTCTCACCATGTCAAACTGGCTTCAGCTAGCAATACTTCATTTAATCCAAAGAAAAAATGGTTTTAATTTCTAGGAAAAAAAATCTAGTTCTGAGAAAAATTAACATTAGTCTGTAATTTAAGACAAAATCGGGACTAATGTTTCATGTTGCTTTATAAGCAACTTTTATCCATATCTTTCCCTGAGATGACATGAAAAACATTCTTTCAAATGTTAAAAAGACAAACTGAGATACCATTTTTTTGCCCATCAAGTTAGAAAAAATTCAAAAAGTAAAAATCATAAAGACATTCAATGCTAATGAGGATGTAGTGAATCAATGGGACCTCATATAAAGATGATGAAGGATGTATACTGTAATTAAACAATATGTATCAAGAACCTTGAAAATGTTCACAATTGTTGAATTAGAAACTCCACCTATTGCTTCTCGGCCTTTTAGCTAAGATCAAAGTAAAAACTCCACCTTCCACTATTATTTATGTAATATGAACATATAAAACTGGAAACAATTTAATGGCCAACATTATAATAATTAAATGATAAATCTATATGATAAAATATTTATTAAAAATTTTAACACATAGAAAACATGTGCTGTGGATACTCAAGTCCCTTATATAAAATACTGGAGCACTTGCATATAACATGCATATCCTCCAATATACTTTATTTTTTTTCTCTGATATACTTTAAATCATATCTAGATTACTTACAATATCTAATGTACAATGTAAATGCTATGTAAACAGTTGTTACATGTATTGCTTAGGGAATAATATCAGGAAATAACGTCTGTGCATATCTAGTACAGATGCAAATTTTTAAAAATACTTTTGATCTGGGCTGGCTAACTTTGTGGATATGGAATCTGCAAATATAATTACATAAACAATATGTCAACTATGTAGAATATACATGACAAAAGACTGGAAGATCTGATCCTCAGCTCCAAACACACACACACACACACACACACACACACACACGACGACTGGAAAAAAATCAAATTTTTTACAGTGGTTACCTCAAGTTGGCAAGTTATATGGCTTCAACAGGAAAAGGGCGAGTTATTTGCAAGTCCTCTCCTAGGTGTGATCTGGCATCAAGGGCTGTTTTAGGATCCAGCAATACTATATTTACTGCAAAAAGGAACCACTCACTGTTTGTCTTACACTGTTATATCTTTCCCTTAGTTGACTTCATTTTGATTAAAAATTGCAAGTCTTTTCCTTCTGTTTTTTGGGGGTGGGGTTGGGGGTTTGGGAGGTTGGGAGATGGAATTCAAGACCTCTCACATTCTAGGCAAACCCTCTAACTAACACTGAGCTACATCTCCAGACCCAAATCTCTATTTTTTTTTTTTTTGAGAAGGATTCTATGTTGCCCAGACTGGTTTGAACTTCTGGGCTCAGGTAATCCCACCACCTCAGCCTCCAGAGTAGATGGAACTACAGTGTGTACCACTGCACCTGACTCAATTTATCAAGTGTTCTTGGACTTGATCTTGTAGTTTATTTATCCTAGGACCTCAAAGGAACATGGCTACTGAAACCAGGGAGGGGTATTCTGCCTTAATACTGAATATTGAGTACTGTGTGTTTAAAATATGTGAGAGGGATGTTAAGATCCCCACTATGACTGCATTGGTATCTATCTGTCCTTTTATGTCAAGAAGTTTTTCTTTTACGAAACTGGGTATTCTGACATTCAGTACATATGTATTTTACAACTGTTATCTCTTCTTGGTAAATTGCTCCTTCTAATAATAATATGTAGTGACTATCTTTATTTCTATTGATCAGATAGGTCAGCCAGATAAAAATATCAACAACGAAACATTAGCATTGGACCACAGCATAGAACAAATAGATTTATCAGATATCTACAGAGTTTTTTTTTTTTTATCCAACAACAGCAGAATATACATTCTTCTTAATAGCTCATGGAACTCTCTCCAAAATAAAACATATTTTAGGCCATGAAGCATGTCTCAACAAATATTAAAAAATGAAGTAATCTTTTGGATCCTATCAGATCATAACAGAATAAAATTGGAAATAAACAGCAAAAGAAACCACAGAAACTATACACACACATGGAGACTGAATAATATATTCTTTATTTATTTATTTTTTTGGTACTGGGGATCAAACTCGGGTCCTTGTGCTTGCAAGGCAGGCAGTGGAACCACTGAGCTAAATCTCCAGCCCCTGAATAATATATTCTTGAATGATCAATGGGTTACAGAATAAATCAGGGAGGAAATTTAAAAATTCCTAGAATCAAATGATAGTGGTAATATAACATATCGGAATCCGTGGAACACAGTGAAATCAGCTAGTTCTAAGAGGGATATTTATAGCTGTGAGTTCCCTTTTTAGTAATGCAGAGTGACCTCAAATAAAGAACTTAAAAATGTATCACAAGGTCCTAGAAAAACAAGAGCAATCCAAACCCAAAAGTAAAAAGAAAGAAAGTAGAAGGAAAGAAATTACAAAGATCAGAATTGAGACTAAAACCATACAAAGGATAAATGAATCAGTGTTAGTTCTTTGACGGGATAAATAAGATTGATCAACATTTAGCCAAACTCACCAAAAGAAAGAGATAAAGACCCAAATCAATGGAACCAGAAATGGACAGAGCAAAATTAATTACAACAGACAACACTGAAATCCACAGGATTATAAGAAACTATTTTGAAAGATATATTCCAAAAAATTAGACAATCTAGAAGAAATAAATTCCTAGACACATGACTTACCAAAAGATATAAAACCAAGACGATATAAAAACCCCCGAAAAGACCAACAATAGGCAATGAAATTGATGCAACAACCCTTCATGATAAAAACCTGGACAATAGCCAGGTGTGGTGGTGCATGCCTGTAATGCCAGCACTCGGGAGGCTGAGGCAGGAGGATCACTGTGAGTTCGAGACCAGCCTGGGCTACATAGTGAGTTCCAGGTCAGTCTCAACTACATAGTGAGACCCTGTCTCAAAAAACAAAACAAAACAAAAAACCTGGACAAAAATAGGTATACAAGGAGCTTGCTTCAAACTAATAAAAGCCAGTTGTGACAAACCTACAGTCAACATTATACTAAATGGAAAAACTGAAAGCTTTTCTTCTAAAACCAGGAATAAGACAAGAATATCCACTTTCACCACTCCTCTTCAATATAAAGTCCACCAAAAAATGTATATACACTTCAGGAAAAGAAAAATAGTATGCTTTTTCAATAGATGGTGTTACCATCATATGGGGGGCGGCCCTAGAAGATGTCATATATTACAGAAAACCCACTATACTGCCAGCCCTTAGAGAAGAAATTGAAAATGGATGTATAGCAATCTCAATGACCAAGGTTACTCCAGCAGCAGTTTGCTACACTAACACATATCTGGAAGCTAATAGCCACCACTTTGAGCACCTCTTGTAATTGCAGAGGCCAAGGGTAACTTGAATTAATCTCATGATATCTCATTAAATTTAGTATTAAAATATTTAGAGGGCTGGGGATTTAGCCCAGTGGCACCGCACCTGCCCCACAAGTGCAAGGTCCTGAGTTCCATCCCCAGTATCAAAAACAAAAAACAAAAACAAAATGTATACAAGTTTTTCTTGAAATGTGTATACATTTTTGGGGTGGACTTTGTAGTACTTGAAACTAGTCATGTAAGGCAAGAGAAAGAAATAAAAGGCAAAGAAGTCAATCTAACTTTATTTGCAGATGATAGGATCCTTTACCTAGATCCCCCAAAACTCCACCAGCAGACTCTTACAGCTAATAAATTCAGCAAAGTGACAAGATACAGAATCTATACATAAAAATCAATAGTGTTCCTATATACCAATAATGAACAAACAGTGAAAGAAATTAGGGAAATAATCTCATTCACGATAGCTTCAAAAAAATTAAATATCTAGGAATCAACATAATGAAGTGGAAGATCTCTATGATGAAAACTACAGTAGTCTGAAGAGACTGAAGAGGACATTAGAAAATAGACAGCTCTTCTTCTTGGACATGCAGAATCAATATCCTCAAAATTGTCATATTACCAAAATAGATGTAATGCAATTCCTATCAAAATACCAATAACATTTTTCACAGAACTAGAAAAAAGTAATCTTAAAGTTTACATAGAGCCAGGAGAAACCCAGAATAGCTAAAGCAAGCCTGAGCAAAAAGTATAAAACAGAAGGCATAACAACCCCACATTTCAAGTTATACCAGAAAGCTATAGTAACAAAGGAAGCAATGACACTGGCACAAAAATAAACATGTAGACCAATGGAATAGAAGACACAGAAAAAAATCCCATACACTTTTAGACATCTGATCTTTGACAAAGGTGCCAAGAGCATATGCTGGAGAAATGACAGCCTTTTTAACTGTGCTGGGAAAACAGTTATCCACATGAAGAAGCATGAATCTAGACTGACATCTTTCAACCTCTGTTATACCTCAATGAAAATGAATCAAAGGTCTAGATGTAAAAATAAAAATACTGATACAGCTGGAATATAACATAAGGGAAACACTTGACTCCATAGGGACAGGCAAGGACTTCCTGAACAGAACCCTAATAGCCCACGAAATAATACCAGGAATCAACAAATCAGATTATATTAAAAAGTGTTTCAAAGCAAACAAAACAGTGAAGAGACAACAGACAGACTAGGAAGGAAGTTTTGTCAGCTACTTTTTTTGGGGGGGTATCGGGGATCGAACTTGGGCCCTTGCTTACAAGGCAGGCACTGGAACCACTGAGCTAAATCCTCGGCCCTCTCAGCTACTCTTTTGATAGTAGACCAATATCTAACAAATACAAAGAACTCAAAAATCAGTCCCACTCCTAAATAAATGGCCCAATCAAAAAAATGAGCAAGGGCCAGGGATTTAGCTCAGTGGTTCTACCGCTTGTCTCATAAGCATAAGGTCCTGAGTTTGATCCCTGGTACCAAAAAAAGAAAAAAAATGGGCAAAATGTAGCCAGGAGTGGTGGTGAGTATTTATAATCTCAGCACTGAAGAGGCTGAGGCAGGAGGATGCTGTGAGCTTGAGTCCAGCCTGGGCTCCATAGTGAGTTCAAGGTCAGCCTTAACTACAAAAAAAAAGGCAAATGAAATGAACAGACACTTCTGCCAAAAAGAAGTTCAAATGGACAAATACTGTACATGAAAAAATGTTCAGCATCATTAGGCATTAAGGAATGCAAATTAAAACAATTCTGAGACTCCATCTTATTGCAGTCAAAGGGGCTATCATCAAGAAAACAAAAAACAAAAACTGTTGGCAAGATGGGCAAGTGAAAACATTCTGTATTGTTCATGGGAATGTGAACTAGTACAACCACTATGGAAACCAGCAGGAAGATTCCTCAAAAAACTAAAAATAGAAACTCCATTTGAACCGCTTTTTCCTCTTTTGGTTACATTTCCAAAAGAATTAAAGTGATCATACTATAGTGATGCATGCATACCCATGATTATAGCAGTGCAATTTACAATAGTTAAACTATGGAAGCATCTTAAATGCCAATCAACAGACAAATGAATATGAATTTTACTCAGCTACAGAAAGGAACAAATTCATATCATTTATAGAAAAATGGAGGGATTTTGGGACCATAACACTAAGTGAAATAAATCAGATGCTGATGGTTAAATATCACATGATCTTTCTTATATGAGAAACCCAAAATGTGAATACAGAGTAAAGCAAAGTAGTGATAATAAGAACCAGGGAGGCAGACTTTTTGGAGATGAGGAAGGGATTAGGGAAGAGGGAAGGGAGATGGGGGACAAGGGGGATAAAAATGATCAAGATATTATATATGTGAATAAATTCCCCAAACATGTGTAAATATAATGTACACAAACATACACCAATAAAAAGTAGAACAATACGCAAGAGATTATGGTGTTTTACATGGATTGTTTTACTTAAAATCCTCACAAGTAAGGAAACTGAAGGTAGAAAGATTAAGTAACCTGCCCAAGCTTATGTAATGAAGGTAATGAAGTCAGGATCCAAATTCAGGTAAGCCTGGCTTCAGAGCCCACCCTCTATACTACTACATTCTATTGCCTTTAGTTACAAGGTAGATTAATTTTTTCTTTATGCTTTTCTGTATTTCCTTCTAATGCCCAGTGCATATTACTCAAGGGAAGAATGTACATTTACTCAGAGACAAGCAGGAACATCAGAATAAGTGCCCTGAAAAGTGTGTGTGTGTGTCTCTGTCTCTCTGCCTCTGTCTCTGTCTCTGTCTCTGTTTCTCTCTCGTACTGGGGATGGAACTCATGGTCTCGTGCATGATAGGCAAGTGCTCCACCACTGAGCTACATCCCCAGTCCCCTTGTAGTATATAAGATCATGGTCAATGGGCCATGATTTATTTGCCTCATACAGTATTCGCTGTTTCTGTCCATTCTCATTCATTAATATAGGGACAGTGTAGCAGGTAACTCTTGTTTTTGTTTTTATTTTCATACTGGGAATTGAACTCAGAACCTTGTGCTTTGTGAGGTAAACAGCGGAACCGCTGAGCTAAATCCCTCGGCCTACTCTTGGTTTTATTAGTAGATATAAAGTTTAGACTAGAGTAAGTTAAACACTTACCTGCAGAACTTATTCTTCTCCCCAGTTCCAGGGGAAAAATTCCTAAAGTATAGCTATAAGCTCATAAAAGTAAGAACTTAAATGAGTGTGGACCAAATCACCTTGAGTTCTTGAAGTTGATCTGGTTCATAAAGCTGGGTAGACACTGCCTGTGCAAGGAAGGTGTCTAGCTCATGGCGATGCAGGATTCGGCCACCAGGCCACTGAACCATATACCTAGAAAGTAAAAATATTATTAGGCCACAAAACCTCATGTACTCAGGTTACAAACACTTATTAAGAATATGTCATGGGCCATAGGCCTGTGGGTGTATTATTTGGTAAAGTACTTGGGCATATTGTGCACATAGTTCATACTCTATTGCATAGCATCTAAGCTTTATAGATGTCAGGGGGTGACAGTGTACCATTAAAAACTAGAGGTAGTGAGTTAGACAACATTTAAGTATCTTTTTGTTGTAATTGATAGAAAAGATGCATCTTGGAATTGTTACACCTCTAGGCAGTGTGTATCAGGACTTATCACTAGGCTGGCAGCAGAGGGGCAGAAATAAGCACACAGGGAGAGATGCGAGCAGTGTTCAGATATTTATTTTGATGAGAGGACTGTGTCTTCTAGTTGTCCTATGGAAATACATTAACAATTTAGTGGGAATATGCCTTCTTGCTAATATCTTATTAGTAAAGATCTGATCACACACACACACACACACACACACACATACACACACACACGCAACGAATCTATCATGGGACAGACTTAAGGCTAGGTTTTGGCAATTCCAACAGAATGAAGTAAAAGAATCTCCGCCTTGGATAGTTACACTCTGGGTGGTAGGGGAGACATGTGTGTACAACACCAATGATAGGACAATGTGACGTACTAAGGTGTGACGTACTAAGACAGAAGAATGCACAGGGTCCTAGGAGCATATAGAAGAGTCCCACCAATGTAAGGATGAGAAAAGGCATCCTAAAAAAAGTGAGTAAGTGCTGTGTTTCACGATTTGAAAATTTTAGTGAGACACATGGTAGGGAAAGGATGTTTTAAGGTGAGGGAAGAGTATGTGGTAGAGGCAAAGAGGGGTGATTTGGCATGATGCACCTGTTTCAGTCTTGCTGTAACAAAATGTTTGGAGTGATAAGAAACAAGATCAGAAAGTAGGTCAAATCACAGAGGGTCTTTAAACGGGACTATTGAGTTTGGATCTTTATCCTGAAACTGTAGGAAGACATGTAAGCATTGTCAGCAGGAAAGAGCCATTGACTGGTTCAGAGGAGAAAAAACAAGTACAAATGCTAGTTGGGAGGTGAATGAACAAAGCCATTCAATAAAGGGATGGAACAGGCTAAGAGACAAAGACAAGAGTTATTAAGGTGATAAATCCACAGGCCTTGGTTATATAATTGCTGTTGTTTACAGTGCTGGAGAAAAAATCCTGGGCCTCATACATGCTAAGCAGTGCTTTACCACTGAGCTACATCCTTGCCTCTGTATATGTGTGTATGGAAAGGGAATGAAGGGAAGACTCTAAGACTTAGAATTCTGGCTTAGGGAGATGGCTGGATGATATGGTACAATTTTCTAAGATAAAAAAATCTATTAATTAAATAAGCACTCATTGATGGATATGCTTTACTGTTCTAGACACAGAGTACACAAACAGAGCAGAAGAGAAAGACAAAGACGGGAAAAACATGAGTCAGTAAAGGCCTGCACTTAGCTCCTTGAAGGTCCACAAGACAACAAACACACACAGTTGTGTGATATCTGAGTTGTATAATATCTGACTCAGCATTTAAGTGAGGGGTGGTCTCTTTCTGGGCACAGAACTGTTTGTATCAATTCCTCCAAATCACAAAAAACGATTCCCTTTGAGTACTCACCATCTTAGTTAATAACTCTGCAACTGCACATTTAGTTGTTAATTCCAAGCTAGTGTTGACTTTTTATATCTTTTTATTGTATTATAGATTTTATTGGTACATTTTAGATATACGTAACGATAACATTCATCATACAGAATTTGTACCTGTACAAGATATATCTTGCGTATTTCTCATTCCCTTTTTCTCCCTTCAATCTTTCTTTGCCTCCTTATTTACAAAAGCTTTGTTTCTGTTTCCCCCCTCTATTCTCTTATTTTATTTATCTATTTTTTATACCAGGGATTGAACCTGGGAACTTGCAATTGCAAGGCAGGCAATGGCACCACTGAGCTAAACCCCCGGCCCATATTCTGTTATTTTTTCTTGTGCCTTCCTTCCTGTCCCCCTCCCTCTTCCCTTGTTCACCTTCTCACTTCAACATTTTCTTCCCATTTCTTAATATCTTTTATACATTTTGGTCCTTATATACACACTTTTAGTTTCTCATACCAGAGAAACAATGCAGTATTTAAATGTGTATCCGATTTATTTCTCTTAAGAGTATGGTCTCAAGGTGCATCCATTTAGCTAGAAATGTCTCAAGCTTATCCTTCTTTATGGCAGAATAGTACTCCATTGCATAAAAACCCACATCTTTGTTATCCTTTCATCAGCTGATGGATATTTGGGCTGTTTCCAAGATTTAGCTATTACAAATTTTGCTACTATAAAGATGGGTGCACATATACCACTGTGGTATGCTGCTTTTAATACCTTTGGGAAGATGCCAAGAAGGGGAATGGCTGGGTCAAATGGAACCTCTAGTTTCAGCTTTTTAAGGAATCTCTTTTTTTTTGGTACCGGGGATTGAACTCGGGTCCTTGCACTTGCAAGGCAGGCCAATGAACTGCTGAGCTAAATCCCCGGCCCCTAAGGAATCTCTATACCAATTTTCATAGTGGTTGCACCAGTCTACACTCCCACCAACAGTGTAGAAGCGTTCCCTTTTCTTCACAGGCCTGTGTTTGTTATTAATTTCCTGTTAACAACCATTCTTTCTGTAGTGAGATGGAATCTCATTGTTTTAATTTACATCTCTTGAATGACCAGTGATGTTGAACATTTTTCATACGTTTATTTGCCATTTGTACTTCATCTGAGAAGTGTTTTCATTTCAGATGCCCACTTTTGGATTGGATCTTTAAATTGGGGGGAAGTCTGATTTTTAATATATTCTAGATATAAGTCCTTTGTCTGAGAATGGTTGGCAAAAAAATTTTCACACTGTGGGATTGTCTCTTCACTCTGTTGGTTGTTTCTTTTGCTGTGTAAAAGCTTTTTAATAACACAAGATCCTATTTGTTAATTCTTTGTGATATATCCTGTGTGATTTGTATTTTCTTCATAAAGCCTTTGCCTACATCAATGTTTTCAAGAGTTCTACCTATTCTATCTTCCAGCAGACTTAGTGTTTCTGTTTTAATGATTAGATCTTTGATCTATTTTAATTTTACTTTAGTGCATGGTTCAGGGGCCAGGGACGTAGCTCAGTAGCGCTGAGTGTGCCTAGCCAACACAAGGTCCTGAGTTTGCTCCCCAGCACTGCAAAAAATTAAAAACAACAACAAAACAAAACAAAACTTTAGTGCATGGTGAAAGATATAGGTCCAGTTTTAATCTCTGGCATGTGGCAAACCAGTTTTTCCAGCACCATTTATTAAAGAGACTATCTTTTTACAGTGAAGGTCTTTGGCTCCTTTGTCAAAGATAAGGTGAATGAGTATGTTCAGAGTTGTTTCTGCATCTTTTAATCTGTTCCACTGATCTGTGGGAGCCCGGCCGTGGCCCTCTAGGAGTTTGACATTTAAAAGGAAACTTCTTCACCTCTACACTCAAGGCATTGATACAATCTGTAACATTCTAGGACTCTGCTTGTTAAACTTGTTGCTGCAACGGAAGAAACTCAAAGAGACAGCCATAGATCTGATGTTATCAGTAAGAGTCAGGAAATTCGGTCTTTGAAAAACAATGATTTGGTGTTGTGTGCCCTTAAAAGCTTCCTGTTGCTGTGAACCTATAAAAGGAGCTGTTTCTGTGAAATAAATCAGACTTCTCTTCGTCTCCGCTCAAGTTTGAGTGTTCTTGCCTTTCTCAATCCTCACTCCCCGACTCAGGCATGTTCGTGTTGTGACGGCTGGACCGCC